CATGGACTTTATACTTCTTGGGAAGACCATTTTGGTGGTAAACAAAAAGTTTGGACTTCTTGTGGGCCATCCACTCAGCCAGTGAGGCTTTCAGCAGGATGACACGCGAAAGTTCTCAGATCCGAGCATTGACCATCGAAAGTTCGCAGATTCAAATCCGCAGTTGTGTTCGATGCAAGGTGCCCGAAAATTTCCGGGTCAGGACAGGCTAGAGTCGATTCAGCTTTCGTGCTGGGGTTGCTGCTGCCGCCACCGCGGCCTGCTGCTATGTGGAAGTGCTCAGAGGATGGATTAAACACAATCGGAATGCCACCTGCACAAAGCCGACCTTTCGACCCTTTGGTTTCCCCTTGTTGGCCCATTAGTTAGAGAAGCTCCAAGGTTGAAGTGATACTTCCAGGGGCAACTGAGGTATTCCTGATAGATCTTGCTTAGATTCTTCTTTAGTTGCATGCCGGCGAGCCCTATCCGCGCTACCAATCAGACCTTTAGGGTGTAAGGCCTTGGACCTGTCCCGATAGACGCCACATAGACGTCCCATATATAGGTTTCCTCACCTGAAGCACGCATTGTCCAGCAGAAATCCGCTGCCCGCCTGTGCCAGGCTGAGCTGCATTCTGTATGTCAGAGCTGTAATCGGCGATTGGCATCACGAGTTGTGGACCTTGGGGACAGACACTCGACAGCGCAACATTGGATATGATCAAGCCTTTCTGGGCAAACCAAAGTCCGGCACTCCAACTGCGCCTGAAGCAGTTTGATTCTGTTGGATACAAATCCAGTGCTCTTGCCAAAGCCTTCGTCTCACTTTAATGCCTATCCCAGACAAAGACATTCTCTCGGAATAGGCAGCGTGAAAGCTGCCAGCCTTGGGCAAAAACAGTCCATGGCGATAGGTGTGCAAGGCAGCGACTCCTGGGCTTTTCACTGTCCTTCCATTTGCTCCATATATTTGTTTATTTCCCCCTGTTGGTTTTACAGGGAATCTATGACTACTGGACATATTTTTAGTTTTCCCAGGGGGCTTTAGCAAATGGAAGTGTCTGACTCCAGAGACGCAGCGAAAGCCAGCACTGGTGACACATGAGTTTGTGTCTGTTTTCATGGTTGATGTTTTTGGAGGTACCTGATTACATGACTCCTTTCTTGAGTGCAATGCCCCGCGTTGTAGGTGTGTTAGCTCAGGTTGGTTTCGTCTAGTTGAGTTTACTTTGTTTTAAGAGCGCAGCCGTCAAGAGGAGACGCTTGGTACATGCAGCCCCATGTTTTACAACATCAGTGAAATGGATCATAACCGCGTTGGCATTGCCCCTTGCCACTGAATTGGCCTTCATTCGGCCACAAAGCCTAGCTTCCATTTGTTTAAGAATCAATATGTTTGTATTTTCCCCTGTTGGTTTAAGGGGAATCTATCACTACTGGAAATGTATTTATGTTTTTCCAGGGGGCTTAAGCAAATGGAAGCTAGGTGATGAGTCATTCCGTTCATTTCCCGCAGCTTCAGGGCCTGCCTTGTACAGCGTAATTCTTTTTCGCACAACGGCGACGCGAAGCGTCGTGCCACGTGTCTTACGGTCTTGCGACTTGCATGGCTCTTGCCCTCGGGGGTGATGAATGTCTTGGTTCTACCCCCAAGCATGGAACCAAAAACGGGGTCCCGAAAGGGAAGTTCCGCTAAATACACCGCTTTGTTGGGTTCCATTTTCACTTGCAGGAGTATGTACGGAGCTCGCCTTTGTTGCCTTCAGGGTCGGGCCAGATGTGTACTGCTGGTAGTGGTGCGTGACTTGGTTCCCTTGTTGCAGCGCGCATGGCTTGTGGAGAAAATGCAGCTGCAGGTCCGGTTTGTTTTCCCCCGTTGTTTGGGATTTGGAAGTTGGCTCATGTTGTTGTCATCGTATGTGTCAAGTGCCATTATGCGTGGGGTTGAACTCGTGAACATAAAATTCCACTGGGAAGTTATCTTTCAGCGAATCGGCGCATGAAAGCTGAGGGCAGGTAAAGGTAGAACCGATGGCCCGTGTTCATAATACCCCCGACTTCCTGGTCACGCGACTCTAAGAGGACTTACATTCAAATAGCTGCCCTGGAGGGAGATTTATTAGAATCACTTCCCGAAATAATACTTAGCAATTCTAATCTTGACTGCTATTGGGTTAGATCTTTAGACTTTAACCTTTTGAACAAAGGGGTTTCCATTAAACCCAAAAAACATATTTCTTGTGCAGACAGGCCAACAGCACCCAAGAAATGATGAACATGATTTTGGACGTTTCCATGTCCGTCCTTTGTTAGATCAACCTCGGAAGGCTTCTAGGGCTATCGGTCGCTGTTTTCGAGGGAAAACAGGCTCTGTTCCGAGGTTAATTTTCGACTGCATGTTGGGTTGCGTGATTCTGTTGTTTAGTAGTGCACTAATTATATTGGTGAGTGGTATGAGGAATTTGGATTTGGCAAGCTTGATGTTTATGAGTAGAGTGACATTTTAATTAGAGTGAACGTCAGGCCGTGTTGATTTCTGGTTTGTTAGCCGAGTGACTAGCAAGCGCCACGTAATCCAAGTAATATGTAAGCCATGATTGGTGCTAGTCATATCGCCAACTTCCAGACCATCTCGGTAGCCGTCAGGTTTTCTAAAAAATCATGGCTGCATGCTCCTTCCACACTTCCCCTAAAAAAGCAGTCAACGATTGCCAGAACCACGTCTTGTCTCTGAGAAGACAACCTGGCCAGCGCCCGAGCTCATCAAGTGAGGCCCCTCAAGAGGGGATCGATCCGACATGTCCAGGTTGCGTGAGGTTTGGTGCGGAAGAAAGCCACCGATTTTCCGTATGAAAAGAGGGACCGTGTGGCTGGAGCACATAGAATAGCTATGAATAGTTTGCAGATGAAGTCCTTCAGCTATAGAAATCAAAGCGAGTCTGAAGGCATCTGAAAGCACGAGGCATTTTTGGTGTAGCGCCTCCAGTTCTTCGTTCCTTCTTTTGGGGAACCTGCTTGCTGCCCACTGGAAGCTCCTTTGAGGCAATCAAATGCAGCTTAGTGCTGGAGCAGTGCAGCCCGAAGCTTCTCAAACACACGATGAACACAGCTCCGTCAAGAGAATGTGCGCTCTGGGACCAGTTTGGGTTGAACAGGGGGTCTTGTTCAAGGGTTGGACCTCCATGTTGGCTCGCAAGGTGAGAGTCACATTCTGTGTACCCACATGCTACGACCCACCATGACTTGGCAGTACTTCGAGCATGTTTTGACAGTCCTTGACCAGGATGCTGGTGGTGCAATCATGAAGTGCCAGATTGAGAGAACAGGGCTTGCCATTTGTTGGCACTGCACCACTTACGCGTGATATTTCAAGGATGCAAGGCCAAAGCTCCGCTGATTTGGCACCATGTCGAAAGACCGAAACGAAGCTGGATCCGGGGGGGCATGCGCACGCTCACACCCCATACTCACAGGTTCAAAATGTCTAATAACCACACCCTGGTGCCCCCGAAAGTGGAACCAAAAGGAGAGTCATGCTACATGTTTGAACAATGGGCTGGCCCCACCCTGCACACCTACACCCGGACGCACACCCACACGCACACGCATACGCAAGCGCGCACATGCACGTGCACACAGGCACGTGCGCGCAAGCCCAAGCGCACACGCTCACACGCCCGCACACCCGCACGCCCTTTCCGCGTGGCGTTTCATTGTTCCTTGTGACATTGTGTCTGCTGCTTATGTGCATTGCGCAGCTTTGGCTCATATTATGCGACTGGAACTGCTTTTAGTGATACGCTGCAAACCAAGGATCCAATGCTTGAAAAGCGATGTGTGTTGTTTTTCTATCTTTCTCCAGCACAAGTCAGCTACTGTCTCGGCACGCCGATGGCCAGAAACACATTATTGATTTTACCCAGTACTTAGTTTGTTTCCAAGTTGACTCAAATGATTTGGTTGCACTTTTGATCCAGCCGCTGAACACTGCCGAATTTTAATAAAGTGCCAGGTGTTTTAACATGGACCCTTTGCCATGGCTTCATGCGCTGACTGGGCATGACCGCTAGGCCCGCGATGTAGAGATGATTTGATGGGTGCGAGAAACACGGGGAACCCCAACAGCCAATTTGTCCTATGGAAGGATGGTTTGCAACATGCAAATGTTCTTGTCCCTTTTGATCGATGCTCATCCTAGTTGCCGTTGAGAGCCCGTCCACACTCCAGAACCACTTGTATCTGCGTAGCCCACCGCCCGCATCATTGTCAAGAAGAATGAGCTGCACCATGTTTGATCCCATAAACGGTGCTTCTTTCGCTGAGCGCTGCGCAACTTCTTGTTGTGGTGTTTCCTTTTTCGGGGACATCTTTTGTTCACTCAGTGCATGCTGAAACGAAAGCTACAAGAGATAGGAGCGAGATAGGAGCACACGTGTCCTTGTTAGGTTAGTTTGGTTCGAAATAGATGGCACTGGTTTGGATGGGTTTTATTCCACCTATGGACAGGTGGTCATCCTTTGCTCCTGCACTTATTTCCATAGACTGCTTTCGGGAGAGGTCAGCACACAGGGAGACATCGGTGTCAGCTGTTGCATTGCAGTGTTTAGTCAATATGACACATTTTGACCCATAGTGTGGATGGACAAAATCCTGCACCACTCAAGAAACAATGGAGGACCGTTGTTTGTTGGTATTTACAGGGGAATCATCATTCCCAAGGTTTCTTAGGTGGTGCGAAATGGATTTCGCAACCATCCACAGGTCCGACAAAGACGACCACCGGGAGTGTCCCTAGTCAGAAACACGGTTTTATTTGACAACGTTGGGCGATGTCCATGTCGCTTGGAGGCCATGATGGCTTTGCGAGTTGTTTTGGCTCCGAGTTGCTCGCCAATAGTGCGGCAATTCGCCCTTTTTCAATCCTTTTCAGAGATGGGCGCGACATGAACATGAGTGTTTCTGATGTAAAACAAGACACGACCCATGTATAGTCCGGCCTTACATGCATGCACATGTACCGATACACACGGCAACTGTTTGTTTGCGGAAGCCATGCGAGCCGTCCTAGTCTTCGTTGGGCTGCTCGGCTGAAGGCTAAAGTGGTGTGATGGAAACCACGACTTTTGCAGTAGGATGGTTCCGCCTTGGGGATCTAAAAGTACCTTCCTACATGGAAGTGCTTGGGTGGGAAGTTTTCGGAGCCTTGGACCCGCCAATGTCAGAGGGTACATGCCATGCACGGGTGGGTTTGGAAGTGCAGACACCCTTTTGGAAGACAACTTTTTGCTTTGGAGGGAGGTCTGTGTACTCCCATGTGTGTTTTTGCGGGAGTAGATGGCACAATTCTGGCCGCTACTTTTCGGTCAAACCCCCGATATTTGTCATATTTGCCCGCATGACCATGTAGTTTTCGGTCACTTGCGTATACGCCCGAATGAAATCTGTATTTTGTTTAACAGTTTGCTGGACAAAAAATAACAACCTGTATGACCATGTTTTCGGATCAAAGGCGTATGATCCACAAAGAAACCAGGTGGGGTCCCGGGCCCATGCAGATTTGATCATCTTTGCTTTCCTACACAGAGGACATTGTGCAGTCCAATTACTTTCGGCCTGATCTATGAAGGTATTGTCCGGCTGTGATGTGAACATGGCTGGAACCCGAAGGTTGCCTGAGTTCTGCCGTGATTCCACGTTTTTGCCTTTGACACATCCATACACACACAGAAGAGAACCGCTTTGACAGCTGTTTTGCCCGCAATGGCTACATTGACACGCCATTTGAATGATTTCGCTGGCAACTGAACTGCATCCATGGGAAAGAGTTTCTTTCAGCGGAGTCTTGCCCGTGCCGCAATGCAGAATACCTGTCTTTGAAGGCAAGGACCTCACAGATGCTATTGTTTCTTCAAGATATAGTGGCAGGACCGTTGCTTCCGCTGTCCAGGCCATAAAGCAAACAAGCTCGGACTCTTGTGGTTACTGGGTTGGACGGTTTTCAAAAGGAAACCAACACGAAGCCAAGCATTTGGAGGGTTCCCGGTTTGGGACACCGCCCTTTCGTCACCAAACTGCGGAAACGGCGCCCTTGTCTTCCAGGGTCAGTCGCTCTGTATCCGGGCCCCTTAGCGTGAACATTTTGAGGGGTTCTCAAAATTACTTTTGGACTAGTTTCCGGGTAAATCGTGTAAATTATGTTTTTAGAGGGTCAAGTTGAGCGTGTCGCATCAGCATCACTGAATTCAGTCTATGTGCTACTGGTATCTTCTTTCTAACTCTGGGACGGAGAGCAACACTTGGGTGTGCTGTCATGGGCCTTTGCATTTCTCAAGGGGACCTTGTCTGAAGGCCTCGGTCTCCCTCCACAAAAAAGAAAAAACAACAGTAGTGTCAACCCGCTTTTGATGCAAACGAAGATGGTGCCAATGCGCAGTCCGAGCTGGCCAATCCACAGCCAGCGGTGTCACTCCGTTGTTTTTGTCACAGCTTCACCCCAATTGGCGACTTGGGTGGTTTGGAGATTCGGGGCTCTCCAAATCACATGGGAAGCTGAGTGTCGACCCTGAGAACCAGAATTCAGTCCGGCTTGGACCGCCACACTGACTGGTTCCCCTGTGGACTGACAAATTCTCAAAAGAGCAGACCTCCAAAAGAAAAAATAGTACCCCTAAGAAAACAGCACTACTGGCGCCAGCCATTTAAAAAACCCAACCTCAAACCACGGGTACGTCCTGGTCCTGCTCCATTTAATGTCAGCTTAGGATCCTTCGGCTTGCTGCGGCTGAGCCGGGTCGGGAGCCCTGGGTCGGGATTTTCCTATGGTCCTGGTTTGACCTTGAGGGGGTTCCCTGCAACACGGGGGAGGGGGGACCTGGTGGGTCTGTCTTTTTGTTCCTAAACAATTGGTGGGTGTGCTTTTGGATCCCCACCTGAAATATGGAATTGGGGGAGGGGGGGGGTTGAATTCTGGAGATCTCCATTTGTGGCAACCCATTTCCCTGTGGGGAATACTAGATGAATGCCCCTCCTCCCTCCTCCTTATGATAGGAGGGATACCTTGCCCATGTGTTTGTTGCTTTGAGTCTAGCCTTTTGCACGTTGAAGGGGACACCCAAAGGAACCACGCATTTCGGGGTCCTGTTTTGACACGCGTACGTTCATGTGTCGCTTTCCCTGCGGGGTTTCCCTAAGGGTCGCATGTCAATTGGGGATGAAGTGCCACCCAAATCAACCTCTGGACAGGCGGAAAAGGCGTCTTTTTTGGTGGTTGAGGACCCCTGGAAGGTGGCAGAGAGATGGAACCCGGATCGTTCATATGGCGTCTTCAAGGTGTGGATGTGTATTGGCTGAAGAAATTATGCTGGCTACCAGCTGAAAGTTGACCAGGCAGGGTTCTTGCAGTTTCGTTCCTTGGCAGGAAACATGTCGTTGTCTATCCTGGCGATGTTGCAGCATTTGGACGCCACAGCATGGCAGCTCGAAAAGCCAAGTATGCCGCTACCATCAAAGCACGCATAAGGCGACACGTCTAGCTGGGCGCACATTGCAGAAGCCAGCGGCCCCAAATTGGGGGGGGGGGGGGCGTTGCAAACCAACAGGAAATCGCTTGGTTGTGGCCACTTTTAGTGGTTTGTTGACTTTGAGTGTGATGAAATCAGACCCAGTGAGCCACCTTGGTATATTATGATTTGTGGGCAACATGCAGTTTGTTCTTCAGGTGCGTTGCCTCACTGCACGCAAGTTGAGGGAATGAGCTGCAGCTTTTGACCAAGCCCTGAGCCCAGTTACTGAGCCCTGTATGTTTGTACCTTTCGGTGGTCTGACTTTGTGATGAAATGAGACCAATCTTGTCAAGAGGGCAGATCGAGAAACATCAAGAATCTTGATGTTGCCGCGCTGTGCGAATCTCTGAAAGGCCCCTGGAAGTATCTAAAACGAGACCCTCGAGCACTCAGAGATCTTTGTTTGGTGTCACTGGATGAACCATTGCGGCACGGTTGTTTCGGATAGACATGTTGTTTTTGTCCTCCCCCCGACCACCTGTTAAATCAGGACAGAAGATTCAGCGAGCTGGACATATCCAGAAGACATATCTCAGGGCATTGATACAGAGGCACGTCTCCTTTTCCAACCGATAGAAGAAGAGATGCCCGTGTTCTTATCAGCGTTGCTTCATTTGCTGTGAAGGGAACTGTTGCCTATTCACCAGTAGGCCTATTCACCAGTAGGTATGATGGCATCCGAGCTTTGGATATACCCAACAATGGCGAGAACAAGGAGTAGGACTCTGGGCCGACATGTTTGCACAAGACCTGGACTGCAGGTTCTTGCAGTGCTGATGGCTGTCAGGACTTAGCCTCCCGCAGGGGCTGGGAGGGCTTAGAACGGATCGTTTGATTCCTCTCGATTCGATGCCTTGGGCTTCGGTGTGTTGGATGCTTCAGGTCCTTTTAGCTGGGCTTTTCGGTCTTTTTGGCTGGGCTTTTCGATGGTTTCCCTTGTAGATGCCTTGTTTTTGTTTGTCCTTAAAAAAAAAAGTCTTTGCGTCGCTTGATCCTCCCCTTTTGGTTGTCCTTACTCGAACTGAGAGGACCCGCCCGAAACAGCTCCCGGAGAATGTGTGTGTGTGTGTGTCTGTGTGTGTGTTTTTCTATAACAAAACCTCAAGAGAAGAGCTACATGCGTATGATCTATTTGTATGCGTATGAGTTGTGTGTGCCAGACCTGTTTAGCGCTCAGATCTGATTTGGACTTGGACACACCCCAAATATCCGCCTCCAGATGTAATGATTGGTAAGCTAGTCGTTTTCAGACTGGGACATGACAGCTTTTCGAGTTAAATGGTGTTGGGCAAAGCACTTCACCGGGGTTTGGTTATGCTCAGTGTCTGGCTTCCCTAGGCAACTCAACTCGCCAGGATGATGGATATAATGGATACATAAACAGGATGTAATGGATACTAGGTTCCCCCAGTAGTGCCCTTTTGCCTTTTTTGGGGGAGGGTTCTCCTACTAAAATCGACTCCAGGAGAAAGGGTACCCTGATTCTAACCTCTCTACTGGAGGACCTAGACTGGATATATGATGGAAGGGTGTAATAGATACAGCTCCAGTCGAGCCATGCTCTTTGGTCAAGCTTGAACGGCGCCATCCAAATGTGAAAAGGATCCTGGGATTTGATTGCCTCTACATGGTGACTGTTTTTGTTTCCGGGTGTTGGTGTTCTTTGGTGTCCCTTTGATATCCTTCGGATTTCCTTTGGCTGTCCCTTTGATTTCCCTTCTCCCTTTGGCTCCTTGTGTGTTTCCCGCTTGGTTTCCCTGCCATATCTAATATCCACCCCCTTTCGATGACCAGGATTTGGCTGCGAAGAAGCCCAGGGGCCGGGGAGGAGCCTTTATCCAGGCCGGATGGATTTTGACTGGGTGTTTGTCCACACCAGGATGTCGTTCAGTCTTTGTGGTGGACCGTCTCTTGCTTGGACCCTGCCCTCTCTCAAGGGGGAACTCCAACATTTGTTTGGACTTTCTGTGGGCATTCCAATCAGGAAGTGCGTTGAACACTACTGAACTCACTTCCTGAGTTGCTGGACTTCAATTTTGTTTGGGAAGACCCATTCTGGTGGCAATCAACAGTTTGAAGATTTGTTCACCCATCCACTCAGGAAATGGGACATGGGTGTGTGTTTTTTGGGGGGCCACCTTTGTGTTTTTGTTGTTGTTGTTTGTTTCTTATTTATTTGTTTAACGGGGAAGCCAAAAACAAGGAATCCGCTAAGAAGGGAAACACCCAAATAGTGGTCCCCTGAAATGGTTGGCTCCTTTAACAAACCCAAAGGGGGTCGATTCGCTTTGAGGGACTCCCACTTTTGCACTCAGAAACTGCGGCTGTTTGACCTAGGGGTGAACTTGAGGCCAAATCGAAGGTTTAGTGGGTGAATGGGTTAGGGCGGAAAAAGCAGGGGTTGAGTCAACGGTGAAATGAAAGGTTTGAATCGTTCGATTTGGGTGAAAGCAAGCCTCAGTAATTTCTGATGACTATTCGGGGCCATCAAAATCCTAGAGCCGAGGCTTCCCTTCAGGTTGCCATTCTCTTTCCCCACGTGAAGAGAAATACGCCGTCCAGTTTCAGCCTCGGGCAATAGGGAAGATAGGGAAGGTTTGCCGGGTGAATGGGTGAATGAGGACTCGGAAAACATGAAGTGCAAGCCTCTCTCTCTCTCTCTCTCTCTCTCTCTCTCTCTCTCTTTTTCTCTTTTTGCGTTTACCTGGAGTCTCCATGACCCTTTAAAAAAATGGGTCCATGACCAACCCTTATTTTGGGTCATGACCAACCACTTTTATTTCGGGTCCTTAGTTGGAGACTCCATTTGAGCCGACCAGATTCCAACCAGGACCTGTGGAGCTCATCCAAACCGATAGCCACCTGCAAAACCTATAGGAGCTACCGGGCAAAGCCAACACAAGATGTTCCGTTGCTCATATCGTGGATGGACAAAATCCTGTGGCAGCTGGTTCCCCTGTTGGTTTTAAAGGGAATGTATGATAACATATGTTCTATTTGTTTTTTTTTCAGGGGCTTAAGCAAATGGAAGAGCTGGTGGTGAGTCCCAGTCTTCAAAGAGCTTTTTTGGCCACTGCTGCAGGATGAGGTTAAATGCCGGACTGACTGGCCATCAGCCTGGTGGGTCGTGAGATGCGTCAGGCAAAGGTGCACAAGGCGAAAGTGCTGCACCATGCAGAGCCAGATGCCGGGGCGCCTCAGAATCGACCGGCCAGTGGGTTTGAAGAAAGGTGGAAACATACAGGAAACCAACCAAGTTTGGTTTTGTTTGCTAGCCAGGCCCAAGCTCAAGAATTTGGCGTCCTCAAGGCAGGAAGAAACCAAGCCCTCGCTCTGTTTCCGGGTCTTTGGAGCAGATGCCAGGAAGCAACGGTGTGCAACGCAAGCCGAGTTGGTAGTGGGAGTTCCATGTCCACATACCTTCTCGAAGCAACCAACTCGTAACATTCGAACATTGCCCGGAAGTAGAAATCGGTTTCTGCAGATTGGCGATCTTGCAACTGCTTTCGATCCAAGTTGAAGTGGCGATCCTTGGATCGCCCTAACGTGGCTATATGCCAAGCCAAGGGCAAAACATGTGATTTCACTTTGGGACGTTGTGCGGCCCTCCCTTTGCAGGGCAGCAGGGTCACGATTTGGCAACTTGCATTTCTCAGCGTGTGGATGGAGTCAACTTCCGCATGGCGAAGCCCGCGTTAAGCTGTAGCCACATACAAGGGGCCGATCGCAACACATGGATCGCGGCATAGAAAATCGCCCAGGTGAATGGTTTCTTCGTGAATTTAGGGACCCCCCTCTGGATTGGTGCTTCGATTTGTGATATCTAGCAAGCAAAGTGATCACATTCCGAACAATCACTCGGCTCGCAGCGTTGTGACTTGTCTCAAAGTTGGGGCCAAGATTCGTGTAGTTTCCTTTGGCTTCCCCCGTTGGAGTCACCTTTGCCAAGGTCAAGGTGGTGTCGTACAACCTGTACTGGTGGCATGTGAAGAAGCACGACGACTGGGCGGGCATTCAGCAGAGACTGAAAGAGCAGTGGCCTTTTGACCTCATCGGATTTCAGGCGCGGGGCATGACGCCACTCTGGGGCTCCCTATTCAAAAATCTTGGAACCTCGGTGGCTCCTTTTCGCCATCCGGTTCAACTGAGCCTTTTCGCCAATTTGTTGTGCTACCCCTTACACCCAATACCCACCTTTTTTAGGGTATCATGTCGACCCTCTACTAAAAAAGGATGTATTTATCATGAAAACCCAGGTTGTCCAAAAAATACCCTTAAACACGTGGGTGTTTGGAGTAGGGGCTAGTTTCCATTTGACCCACGAAAAGTTCGTCACTTTTCGCGGGGGATCAGACTCAGATGGCAGGGAACGTGCAGGGTCCAAACCAGGGGGCTCTCACTGGGTGATGCTTCGCCAAGCTGCGCTTGCGAACTCTTCGCGAAGCCTCCTGGTAGCTATTGATTTCCACGTGTTTCTTCTGAGCACGGATTGCATGTGTCGAGATTCCATTCTGGGTTGTGCCCAGCGAACCCTCCGTGAATCGTTGGTCATCCGGAAGGCCCTCCATCCCATCGAGTAAGTCCCACTGATTTTGCAGAGGGGTGGCTATCGAAATGGGCTGCAACCAGCACGGCTCTCAAGTGAGGGCCCCTGTGTTTGGCGAAACGCGTACCTGGAGTCCCCATGACCCGAACTAAAAATGGGTCCATGAGCCCATTTTTTGGGGGGGTAATGACCAAGCATTTTAAAAGGATCGGAAGGAGACTCCAGGTACCTTTCATTTCACAGCTTGGCAGGAATGCGAGGACGTGGCCTCGATGGTGGCCAAGTCTGGGATGCAGGGCATGGATTTCTATCAGGGGCCGAACAAGCTGCTCGCCCGAGCGCTGGTTTTTCATCGGACCCTTTTGAGGGTTCTGATCAAATGAGTTCCAGCTTGCACCAAAGGGCACTCACGCGTGTAGCATCCTAGAGCCAATTTTGGTCGCCCAAGTTTTCGTGGATTTGAGAACGTGCGGTGGATAACAAATGGTCGCAGGTTGTCCCAGTTTCAAGGCCTCAAGCAAGAGCGCGTATCGGAGTCTTTGGGTGGTCCTTCTACTGTAAGTGTAATTATAGTATATACTGTATACTGTTTGTCAGTTAGCAGGCACACCATGAATTCTCTGAAGGCGTTTCTCAAGCCGCCATTTTGCGGATTGCATGGATGGCATTCTGAAAGCAATGGTCTTCCATTGCTTAATTGACAGTTTTTGCTCCCAGTTGGGGTGGGCGAATGGCTGACACTGGACCAAAAACAAAAAGCAATCTTGTTAGTGGCTCCAACAATCATAGGTGTCCTGTTTGGTTGGTTTCGTTGAAGAATAGAGGGCCCTGGTTTACCTGACGATTCATTCATCTACCAGGGCCATCAATTTTCCACAAAGGATACCTATGCCAACAACGGAGATAGTTTGGACAGGTCAGCACGCCATGAACGCACAGCGGGCATTCCCTGTGTGGGTACCCCTCAACTTCAAGATGCATAGAGTTTAGAGGAGTTTATGTCTTTTAGCGGATGAGCTTGCCCCCCCCCCCCACCCCCCCGGGAAGGAAAAATGATGAAAAGAGGTGGCTTTCATAAATTCCCCAAAACAAAGGCACCAACAACAAGACACGCCCACAGTAAAAGGTGTCATTTGTTTCAGGGGATCAACGAAGTGATACTGTGGATGGACAAAATCCTGCACCACCTAAGAAACCCTAGAAGGATGATTCCCGTGCAAAAAAATATAACACCAACGAAAACTGCCTGGCGCCCCGTATGTTGTTTTTGGTCAGACCCGTATTTGGCTGTATTTGCCCGTATGGCCATGATTTTTCGGTCATTTGCGTAAATCACCCGTATGAAACCCATATTGTTTTCGATATATTGTTCAAAAGAAAACGTAAAAATATGTATGGCCATTTTTTCGGTCAAAAGCGTATGACCTAAAAACAGCAGCCATATGGGGTCCCAGGTGGTTTCAACCATGGTTTCAAAGTGGTGCGAACGGATTTATCTCGGGGTAACTTGCCCATTCTTTCCAGGGATCCTGCTTTCTAGAAAACCACAAAACAGACCCTGGCGAAATGGCGATCGGTTTTTGAAAAGAACGATGGCTGAAAAGAATGGAAAAGGAATCAACCCTAGAACTATTTTTTTTTGTCAGGCCCATTTGACACCGCAATTTTCCACATCCATTTCTCACCACGATCACCTTACAGGCCTTTCGGCCTTTTGAAGATAACGGAATTTCGCAACCATCCACCGCAGATTCCTGTGCAAGGGATGGCCGCCCTAAAAGCAAAAAAACACAAACCTGTGCGAGGGACTGCCGCCTTGAAAAAAAGATGAAGAAAAGAAAGCCACAGGCCGGACTACAACCCTGCACCGATCGCCTGGCGCAAGGGCCTCTTTCAGGTCCTCGGACACCCAGGCCGTCGGAAAAGAATTGCCTTTCGGCCCTGACATGGGATTCAACCAATCCAAGACCCGTTTTCTTAAGGGAATTTGTTGAGAAAATCTCTGGTTTGCCATGGTAATTAATTCCGTGTAGTAGCGGGTTGACATGATACCCTGAAAAAAGCAGGTATTTGGTGTGGGGGCTTGGGATTGGAATGGAATTTCGGGGAACTCTTGACACGCAAACCAACGGGGAAGCCAGCCATGTTGACACGTCCTGTGTCCACATAATATTGAACTAAAACCATGTGTCCAAGGGCTCTGCAATATTACCATGGAATCGGTTTTTGGTGTGTCTACTCGGTTTTAGCTGTTAGTGGGTTTCGGATTTTGGTAGTCCCCTATCCTTGCATTGTGGTAGTATGGTCAGCTGCTCATGTTTCGTTGCAAAATATAGAGTCCTCAAAGACGTTTTGGTTGCAAACCTTGGCCGGTGACCTTGGCCCGTGAAGAAGGCTCCAAGCTGGCGGATGCCGTGTTTCAGGTGTGTGAATCATAGTCAGTTGCACAGGATGTGTCTGAGTCTTCTCAAGCAAGCGCACTGGAAACGTGTGTTGTTTGTGTTTGTTTGTTTGTTTGTTGTCTGTCTGTCCTGTCTGTGTCTGTCTGTCTGTCTGTCTGGCTGTCTGTCTGTTTGTCTGTCTGTTGGTTGGCTGGCTGGCTGGCTGGCTGGCTGGCTGGTTGGTTGGTTGGTTGGTTGGTTGAATGGTTGATTGGATGTACTGTTTTTTTGGTTTGTCTGTTGTTTTGTTTGTTTGTATGTAGGTTTGTTTGTTTGTTTTGTTGTGTTTTGTTGTGTTTTGTGGTTGTGTTGATTGTTTGTTTGTTTGTCTGTCTGTCTGTCTGTCTGTCTGTCTGCTTGTCTGTCTGTCTGTCTGTCTGTCTGTCTGTCTGTCTGTCTGTCTGTCTGTCTGTCTGTCTGTCTGTCTGTCTGTCTGTCTGTCTGTCTGTCTGTCTGTGTCTGTTTGTTTGTTGTTTTGTTTGTTTGTATGTAGGTGTGTTTGTTTGTTTGTTGTGTTTTTTTGGTTGTTTTGTTTGTTTGTTTGTCTGTCTGTTTTCTGTTTTTTTCTTGGTTTGTCTGTTTGTGTGTCGGTTTGTTTGTTTGTTGTTTGTTTGGTTGGTTGGTTGTTTGTTTGTTTGCTTGATTGTTTGTTTGTTTCCTTGTCGGGCAGTTTGTTTATTGGTTTGGTTGCTTGTTTGTTTGATGTTTGTGTGTTTGTTTGTTTGTTTGTTTGTTTGTTTGTTTGTTTGTTTGTTTGTTTGTTTTTTTTGTTTGTTTGTTTGTTTGTTTGTTTGTTTGTTTGTTTGTTTGTTTGTTTGTTTGTGTGTTTGCTTGTTTGTTTGTTTATTTTGTCGTGTTTTGTTTTGTTTTTTTTGTTTGTTTGTTTGTTTGTTTGTTTGTTTGTCTGTCTGTCTGTCTGTCTGTCTGTCTTTTTTTTGGGTTGTCTGTTTGTGTGTCGGTTTGTTTTTTTGTTGTTTGTTTGTTTGTTTGGTTGGTTGGTTGGTTGTTTGTTTGCTTGATTGTTTGTTTGTTTGCTTGTCGGGCAGTTTGTTTATTGGTTCGGTTGCTTGTTTGTTTGTTTGCTTGCTTGTTTATTTGGTGTTTGTTTTGCTTGTTTGGTTGGTTGGCTGGTCGGGTTTGTTTGCTTGTTGGGGGGACTACTGAGTTTTTACATTTGCTTTCGACTGGGCGCCAAGCAACCAATCATGCGTGTCTTAGTTTCCTTATACACGCACACGAAAGAAGGGTGTCAGTTTTTCCGACGAGGACTGGGGTGCTAGGTAAATTGTGTCCATGTATATATGGTTTTGTTTTCTCATGCTTTTCCACTGAACGCAACATTCAAGCATATATGTGGGTTGATTTCCCTCACGCAAGAAAGCAAAAGACTCGCCTGTCCTTTTTGCGACTGGGTGCGAAACACCACTCGCACATGTGCTTTATTTGTCTCAATCGCAGACACCAGAAAGGGCGTCTTGTTTCCCATCATGTGCCAAATACCGCATTCACTGTTTGTGGTCTGTAAGCAATATCACCAGAACAAGTGCTTACAGTATTACATTGTTGTTTGTGTTGGATGCCAATTACCACGTGTTTGTTGGTGAATAAACACACCAGAACAGGATGTCCATGTCTTGTCCATGTCTTTTGACCGAGCGGATTTAAAGATCCCCAAGCACATTGAATTCGGACTGAGTGACAACTCTTACATTGCGATCAAACGACACTGGAAGATTGGTTGCTTCCTTTGCCAAACAGGAATAGTATGTCCAACTGGCTTATGCAAGCGCGGATCCTTGCGATTTTCTGCACACAGCGGTTTGCTTCAGGTAGATACTCTCTATATATATATATATGGGTGTTTCTCAAAAATGGGGACCCCTCTAGGCAGGTGGTTTCCTTTTGGTTTCCCTTCAAAACCATCCAAAACTGGGTCCCCTATCTTGAGAAACCACCATATATACATACTACGTGTACGTTTTGATCTTCACCAAACGCCAGCCCAGAAACGGAGCGTCTTTTTGTTCTTGTTGCTTTATTTCAGGGGAACTATCTTCTTCTTTTCCGGTTCTTGCAACGGCAGGCTTCGAGGAAATCGGCTCAGATATCTGGGGCATCCGCATTTTGACCTACGTGCGGCTGCAACTTCTGCAGTCCAAACGCCCCCTGGCACTGGTGACTGACACTGGGTGCTTGACCAAGTCCCCCAGCCAGGTGCCAACTTTTACCCCCTTTTTGGTTGGGAGGGTTCCCCTCCTAAAATAGACTGCAGAAAAAGGTTGGTACCCTAAACCCCAACCTCTCTACTGGAGGAGGAAAACAACATCGGGTACCCTTGTTCTAACCTCTCGACTGGAGGACCTTGTTGAGGTTGGCCAAGGTTTTCGGTAGCTATGGTTCCTTTCAAAGGGACATGGGCGACTCACGGAATTTGCCGCAAGACTCACGAACATGTTCAGGCCCTCTTGGGGGAAGAAGTATTGTTGACACCGGGTCTCAAACAGCTCATGACTTGCCAAAAGGAGGAGGATATGCTTTGACTTTCCTGACCCCGGATTTAGCACCCAGGGACAATTGAGGGACGCCTGTGGAACCATTTGTCCTGTCACTTCAGGTTGGTTGGGTTTCCAGTTCTGTGACTCGAACACAGCCACAATTGGAGTCACCATTTTGGAGCTCGTTTGAGAAAGGAATCACCCATTTCGAGGTTTCCACTGGGAGACCTCCCTTTCGGAAAATTGGCGACGGCCCAGCACAGGGGGGGGGATTGGGCGAAAAAGATTTCCCTCGGTGTGTTTTTCTTCTGTGAGACAGTTTCGTTTTCGCTTGCTACCCTGCAAAGGAAGAGCGTGTCCTTCTTGAAGGTGTTTTGTTTCGTTCTGGTTTCCCTTCGCCACCATCCACAAGGGGGCGAGAAACATACCTGGGATGTTTTCCAGTCAGTTTCTTTTCGCTCCTGCTTTCCCATTTTGGGCTGCTGAACACCCCCAAGGGAGACTAGGCGCCTTCGTTCCACTGGGAAACGTCATACAATATGCAGACCCCCTGTTCAACACCCGAAGTTTATATGGCCATGGGTCAAAATCCAAATCGTACCCCCAGTGAACGGGACCCAATCCCCACTAAAATTGCACCTACCCCAAAGTCCAGTGGCACCCTTTTTCCCATTTTTTTTGGTGGCTGCCCCACTAAAAATGGTCTTCCCCAAAAAAGGGCTCCTTTTTTTCCATGGTCACTGGACAATGGACAAGTGAGATAAACTTGCTTATCCAGACCCCCCTGTTCAACACCTTAATTTATTTCCCAGAATTAGTTCCCCTTGTTGTTTTGTTGCTTTTTTGGGGGTCCCCGTTGTTTTCCACTAACCAGGCAACATGTTTTGTGTTTTTGCTGGGGTCCCGTTTTTCCAGCCAATATTTTATATAAACTCGCTCACTCACTTGCCAACTGTCCTCTAGCTCTGAGGCACGGTCCTCTTCGCAAACACCCACGGGCCGCTGGGCGACTGCGAGGAGGACCAGGGCAAGGCTTGGGTGAAGGCGGGTACTGAGCGATTAGCCCAGTAGGTTTTGTGGGGGGTTTACTCGGGGGTTTCTCAAACAGGTGGGCCCCGTTTAGGTTAGTGTTAAAATGGTGTCCAACAGGAAACCAAATATGGTGGACCCCTTTAATGTTGATGTTTAAAGGGTGTCCAGTAGGAAACCAACAATGTGTTGGGTCCCCTATGTCGAGAAGCGCCCACTTGGTTCCACTTGGGGAATCGCAATTTGCAACGAGATTGTTTCTGGCAGCGCTCCGAGAAAAAAAAAAAGAAGAAGGTACGACTTGGGGCCATGAAACACATCGATCGTTCGAAGACATGGGAGTCAATTTGCTGGACCACATCAAAGGGTGAATGAGGTTGCCCTAAGTCGCGGTTTCGTTTGTGAAATATTTGAAAAGTTGGTCGCAAGTCGACCCCTTGGCTATGTATCTTAATGAGGAATGCCCTTCTCAAATTAAAAAATAGATAAACGCAAATCCGAACCTACTGTAGATGGAGACAATCCTGCACCAGAGAAACCCCGAAATGGTTCGATTCCCTTGCAAATACCAGCCAGCAATGGTTTCAACTATGGTGTCCCAATCCCCAATTCAAATTCACGGCCCAACTTGGCGGCTCCCAGCCATCCCCTCAGCGTTTTTGGGGGTTTTAGGTTGGTTTAGTCCATCCCCTTAGCTTTTTTGGGTTTTCAGGTTGGTTTAGTGGAGTTGTCATTTATCCCACTGAAAGTGGGCGACTTTTAGCCGCGGATCCCCGAAAAACCAGCCAAGAGCCAAGCCGACTGGACTGCGATTGGACGCTCTGAAGGCGTTGGAGGGGAAGCGGCAGAGGGGCGACGCGGTCTTTCTGACCGGGGACTTCAACTGCCGAGAAGAGACGCCCGCCATGCGGCTCCTCACAGGCCGCTTCGGGCGGACAGCTAGGCGAGGTGCCCTTTCTCAGCCCTTTTTTGGGGGGAGAGGATTCCCCTACTAAAATAGACTGCCGAAAAAAGTTCGTACCCTCCGGGTCCCTGATGTCCCTTGTTGGTTGGTTGGTCGTTACCCAACAAAACCGGGGTCATGTCATGACCCCATGTTTGTTTGGGTCATGGAGGCTGCCGATTTTCAGGGGGGCCCATGAAAGGTGTCCCTTGGTTGGGGTGGTGATTCGAGGGAGCCCTATTTGACTTCACCAAGGATATGTGAAAATTCAGAAGGTGTGCACCCAGGGTGTGTCAAATGAGTTTTAAGGACCACACACATGACGTGGCCAAGAGTATGTGGGAATCCAGAAGGCGTGCACCAAAAGGCCTTTTGGCAGGATTGTTTTGTCAAGAAACACATGGCCAACCATATGTGAATCCAGAACTGCCCACCCATGTTGATGTTTAAGCAAACACTCACACTGATAGGCGGCCACAACGTTGGCAGTTTCGAGATATGATGCTGTTGAACCATCAGTCAAGGCTTGCTAATGGACATAGGGACACACCCAGCTACCTGGTTATATCATACCGACCGGTGGGGACGAGCATGGGCGCTTTCGTAGCTGTGCCAAGCGCATCTGCTTTTTGGATGCCTGTCAAACTCGGGGCTGTTTTTCTTTCCGTTTCCCTTTGAGCCGACCTGAAAAAGGGTATCCTTGCAAAAGACAGATCCATTTAAGTTCAGAAGGGGCACCAATCCTTTAAACAAGACTACGCCGTGTGTGATGAAGATGGACGTCTTGGCACGCGGCCCCCGGAAGAAAGGGGATTCAAGTAACTCCTGAGCCATTCGCTGGTGCTGATGGATCGACATTCCACAAGGACCATGGGAGCTTTGCCGGAGACACGCCGCCATTCAGAGTGAAATCGAGAACCTTGCTAACATTCTGGGGGACTCCGAGGTTCGCATGAGACATTTTAGGGCAGCAACCGGTCAGGCTACCTGGCCAACGGTATCAAGGACGTCATCGATCACGTCCTGACAGATACCACGGTCAGGGCCCATGAAGGCCGCCGCTGGAATTCTGATTTTAAGAACCCTCGAAGGGCGACTCCTCACAGGCAATAAAGAGCATATGCTCTTCCCCTCTCCCCCTGTTGGTTTCAAAAGGAACATCTGTAGCAGGATTTTCACCCGAGTGTTTCCGAATCAGGATTTTGACCCGAGTGTTTCCTAAACCATTTGCTGATTTTTGTTTGCCTTTTTAGAACCCTGGTTGGTTCTAAAGGGAGCCTATCAGTATGGGAAATCCTTTGTTTTTCCCGGGGGCCTGAAGCAAATGGAGGATCAGCGTGCTCCAAGGCGCTCGAACTTTAGTGTCCAAGGGTAGGACATTGTTCTATAATAGGGTGACCTCAAAATGGTTGTTCTTGTTGGTTTCCCTTCAAACCAATCTTAACATGGGTATCCTGAAAAAAGGAATTACCCAAACTTCTAGGGGTTGATTCCTTGTCCATTCTTTTCAATTCAACCATCATTATTTTCAAAAACCGATCGCTGTTTCCCCTGGGGTTCTGATGGTTTTCTAGAAAGATTCGGATCCCTGGAAAGAATGGGGAAGCTTCTCCTAGTGGCTGTTTGCCATTGGTTTGGACCTTTGGGTACCGCCCCCACTTGGGTATGGATCAAAATTAAGCGTACCTGGAGTCTCCATGACCCTTTAAAAAGGAGGTCATTACCCAAAATAATGGGGTCATGGACCCATTTTTAAAAGGTCATGAAGACTCCAGGTAGTTTTTTTTTTCTCGAATCTCGCAACCCCGATTTGTGTAGAGCTTTCCGCAGGACTCAAAGTGGGCTGCTTCACTGCTTCCCCTAGCGTGAGAGGCAACATGAACTTCATGCGGCTATGCCAAGCCGACCCGTGTTCTTCAAGGCACTCTCAGTTGTTCAGCGGCACCCTTGTTCCCTGGTTGTTGGTGGCTGCCCCACTAAAAATAGTCTTCCCCGAAAAAGGGTTCCCTGTGTTCCATGGTCGCTGAACAACTGAGCAGTCTTTTCCTCAGGCACCCCTTTGGGTGGGTGATCCATCTGGAATAGATTGAAATGATGTCCCCTGGTTTTGCTTGAGCCATCTGCATGTAGCTGGCACTATTCCCTCTCTCTCCGTTTAGAGGAGGATATACCCCGATTTTGTGCCGAACTGTAGTAACCGTGTAGCATGGGAACCAAGGAAGGTCATGGCTCTTTTCATTTGTTCAACGGCCTTTGATAGCCACTAGTCACCCTCAGGTTGCAGTGGCTTTTTGTTACACTCTAAAGCAGAACAATCATGACTCCCTGCAATTGTTCATCGAACCCAAGTCGATGCCCTAGGAGATGCCTCTAGTTGTCTAGATCCCCACAGCTAGGTGCCCTTTCTCACCCTTTTTTGGGGAGGGTTCCCTCTACTAAAATGGACTACGGAAAACAAAAGGTTTTGGTACCCTTATTCTAACCTCTCTACTGGAGGACCTAGTTGTGCTATAAAAATGGGGATTTTCTCACGTCGAGTTTCGCGGAGTTTTTTGTTTGAGTTGACTCGCAGGTGGCAGAGTGGAAGGCTATCCTTCGGACCATCCGCTGGTTTGGGGCTCCTTCTTTCTTTAGGAGCCCCGACCGCCAAACTTGGGGGAGGGGGGGCAGAGGGGAGGGGGCGGGTGCGAAAGCGAATGTCTTCCAGGGCGTCCATTTCTTTCAGGTTCCATGTCTAAGGTCCCCCAGCAATTGGTGCCCGACCTCTCACCCCTTTTTTAGGGGGAGGGGTTCCCCTACTAAAATACCTACAGGAAACAGGGTTGGTGTTGGGAAGCATTTTACATTTTTGCTTATTGTGGTTTAGTGGGAAATCTCCACTTGACTGACTTAACTGCTAAAGAAAATTTGCTCCCCTTCCCACGTCAACCAAACTTTCAGGTTCCATGTTTGTTCGGGGAGGGACGAAGAACAGTGAAGTGTAGTTCAATGTGGCTTGGGTTTACCCAACCCTTGGGCGGCCTTCGTCACTCAAGCAAGCAGCTGGAAACGAGTTCCCCCACAAATGAACAGAAGGAACCAACCAACAGAGGGTTCACAAAGAGAAAATGCCCCACACATGGATAGCGTGGGTGGCTCCAGGTAAATCTGCAGGAGTCTAATTTTCTTCAACCCTGACGTTATCGCGAGTCCCAGTTCCGCATGTTTGTTAGTCCCGGACACTTTTTATGTAATGTGCAGCATCGCATAATCCACTGGTTGATCTCTTTGCTGGATGCTGGCAAGCAGGAAACAACCACATTGTATTGTCTGCCCCAAACCGCATACAGCAGAGCCACTCTTTTTTATATGACTTGTCCGGAGTGATGCGCTTGCCCCCTTTTTGGTCAGAGGTACCGGTTTTGCCGCATGCAAGCCAAGCTGAATCGGAGCTTCCTGTGAGAAAGAACACGCGTGATGCCAGAAAGGGCTGGGAGGTTTAAACCTGGATGTTGATGATATTTCTAGTCGCTTCCATCCATTTGCTCAAGAACATGCTTATGTTCCCTTGCTGGTTTTACAGGGAAGCTATCACTACTGGACATATTTTCATTTTTTCCAGCGGGCTGAAGCAAATGGAAGCTTCTCTTACTTTGTTGTTGCTCTTTTTGGGTGGTGTGCCTGCGCTAGTGCTTCCGGTGGAATGTGCGTGGGTGTGTTTTCGTGGTGGTGCTGCTGCGACTCTTGCTGCTCAGATGAGCCACAATCCAAACCCGGGTAGATGAAGGTTAGTAAGGGACAACCCCAACCAGAAATAGCTGCGGCCGCCTTCTTTATTCTTTACATGGTTCTGGGTCGATCATGTTAATACCAGGTTTTGATTATGACTCAGATGCCCCTTTGCGTGTTGCGGGCCAAGACGAGGATGGGGCCAGAACAGCACCTTGGCTGCCAGCAAGTGGTCGTTCCTAACTGATCGCCATGCTTGCTATGGGCCCAGTCAAGTGTTGCACCCTTGCAGGTTCAGGGGAACGGAAGGGGTTTGGGAATAGGACCTGACACTTGCCTTTTCAGGCAAGAAGGGCGTTGCCCCACAGCTGGCTTCCATGCTTCCAACTCAGAAACGAGCAAACGGTTTTGCCGTCCATTGCAAAAGCTGGCTCAAAACCGAATCTCAATCAGCATAAGGTTTCGAAGTGCACTTTGCAGTGCGGATTGCGGATTAAGAAGATTGGCGACCAGAACAAGGATGAAGCGGATTACAGTTTATGAGTAGGCAGGCCCAATGGATTTCGACAAGGCTAGTCTTCGGCAATGAAGGGGTTTGTCCTTTGCGTAGAATACGCTTCAATTTTTGAGCAGTTGGCTCAGGTGCACTTGGTTTACGTGCCGAGGGGTGAAGATTCCCTGCGCTTCCTGTTCTGAAATTCCAACCTTTCCGGCCGATGGGCCCAAGGGGTTCATCGATGGAATTCGCCGGCGTGCAGCGCTTACAGAAGAGCTGCAGATCGCTAGCTGGTCGATGTGTGGCTGTAGATGCTCCGAAAGCGTTTACGGTTGGTTTTAAGTGGCAATCGGATACTCCAGCGAATCCTAGTATCACAGAATCACCAATAGCAGCTGTAGATTAAGTCACTCGTTACAACAGATCAATGTAGGCCCTTCACATCATAGCGATTGTGCTAGCTCATGTAGGCAGATTGAGTTGAACTCTTCAGCCAGACGTCGACAGGCAGCTTCTTAGGGACTGCCTTGGCAGTGAGTCCTGTTGATCTGAAGGGCGCTGAACCAAAGTTGCCCAAATTGGCGATGCAGCTCATTTTTGGCAACTTGAATTTGAGCGTCAAGCAAATTGCTTACTCGTGCTTAGCTGGGAATGAGGGAATGTGAAGGCTAATTATGCACATGACACTGACCCCAAAAGTTTCACTGTTCCATGCACTGATGTGTTTTTTGTCATTCATGTATGCACTGATGTGTTTTTTGTCGCAGTTTAATTGGACAAAAAAACTCGGTGGCCAAGCCTACTTTGCTTTTGCAACTTGATGTGTTGTTTGCTACAGTTTCATGTAACTAGAAAAACATGCAATGGCTAAGCCAATTTTGCTTGCACGACTTGCATGAACCTGCTGGACAAACTCATGTTCTTCCAGATTTGAACAATCATATCTAAACAATCAAGAACAACAAAGGCATATTTTTATCCAAATATTGGCTTGCCCAAGATGGGGCAGAGTGGTGACATCAGTTACACTAATTCATGCTGTCTCAGATATTACTTTTGAGGGAGAGGGGGGGGTAGGACGGTGACAATTCCAGCTGTTTCATGTTGCAATTTGCTTGCAAACAACATGTTGCTTGTGGTTGTTGAGACGCGCTGTGAGAGCGCCTGCAAGAACAGCCAATGCTGTGAGACGATTTCATAGTCCAAAGCAACTTGGACGTTTTGCTTTGACATGATGGGTGCATCAACTCAATGTTTTGCCACAGGATTGATCAACATAAGTATGTTTCTGGCTGAAGCATCTTACCAAGACAATTATTGTTTTCATGTGATTAGCATTTGTCTAAGACATTGTTTGCTGCATATGAGTGTGTTGCACTTCTTATCGAGCCATCTATCTGCGTGCCGGTTCTTGAAGGGAAGCTTCACTCATGAGAGTTGCGCACAAGTAAACTCACTTGACATCATTAGGGAAGGAAACCTCTCCAGAACTTAAAAACAAAAAATGCAGCAAGATCCTCCAAAGAAGAAATGCTGTTCAGTCCAGGTTTGGTCGAGATGGAGTGGTGGCACAAATTACATGTTTGATTGGATTGTTTGTTCATGTCACGTCAGTTTATGTTTTCATGCCATATCTGTCATCCCACCTTGTCAGGGCAGGACTTAGGAACAGTTGCGGCCGAGCTGAAGCTGGAGTTTGGCTGGTAGAGGTGGGCGGCGCTGTGATAGCGCCTCAAAGACGCTGTGAGAGCGTCATCAAGAACATCGAGAATCAGATGGCCAGCCTCCACAAGCATGACGCCACGCAGTGGCCTGGCTGCAACGTGCCTGTGCTGCATTTAAGGGATGATATGGGTAACGATGACGATGACAGTGATTATAATCACGATGATGGTGACGATGACGAGGATGCTGATGCTGATGCTGATGGTGATGATGATGATGACGATGATGATGATAATGACGCTGAATATCTTGGTGGCTTTGATCATGACGTTGACGTCGGTGATGATGACGATGATGATGATGAGGATGATGATGATGAGGAGGAGGAGGATGAGGATGAGGTTGGGTATGATGAGGATGATGAGGATGATTATGATGATGATGATGGTGGTGGTACTGGTGATGATGATGATGGTGATGATGACGATGATGATGATGAGGAGGAGGAGGAGGTTGGGGATGAGGGTGATGAGGGTGAGGAGGGTGATGAGGAGGATGATGATGATGATGACGATGATGATGATGATGATGATGTTGGCGATGATGACGATGTTGGTGATGATGATGTTGATGAGGATGATGACGATCATGATGATGATGATGTTGATGTTGTTGTTGATGATGATGATGATATGAGCAAGAAAGGCGCTTTCAGAAGCCCATGTTCTGAGGCGTTTGCCGCATCCTCGGCCGCGGCCTTGACGACCGCAGCATTGACGAGCGTCAGACCTTTGACAGCAGCTGAGATTCAAGGTGCAAGGAATTGAAGGGACGCGCTGTGAGAGCGCATTGTACGTAGTTTCACGCTGTGAGAGCGTGCAAGCGCGGCCATCTTGTGTTTGTGGTGGAAAACTCAGGCTGCCAGCCTCTGCGGTGACCTAGCTGCCGGTGGCCAGCGGCAAGAAGTGCTGCACCTTGGCTGAATGTGCGTGGCAGTTTCCTCAGCAAGTGTTGTCAGTCAATACGCTCTCACAGCGTGTTACGGATGCTTTCACAACGCTTGTTTTTTTGTGTTTTGCCCACTTGGCGCAGGCAGGTCGATGTTTGCAGCCCCTCCAACAACCGGAAGCCTTCTCGAAGTCTGGGCTAAGTCACTAAGTTTGAAGCGTTTGATAGGAAGGCTCCAGATGTTGGGTGCAAAACTGCAAGAAGCACTGGGGCCATTGGGGATGTCCGCGCCAGTGTCTTCAGGCAGGTGAAACGCAATGAGCAAGGGTCAGAGAAAGTGAACACCTTCTGAACCTAGGGGTAAACCGACCTAATATAGCGACCATCGTGACAAGCCAAAAACAAACGGTCAGCGTTTATCAGGGGGCCAAACCAAAACCAAACCTTGAGTATCAACAACCAATCCCTGTTCTGACCAGTGCCCCCAGATGTTGGCGCAGGCTTCTGAAGCAAGCACGGGACTCTACAGCCCTTTGCGCGTCAGACTTCTCATGCTCGCTTCCTGCCAGTGACGTCATATGCTGCACAATTGACATGAACTCGTCGTGCACGGACTGTCATCATCATCATACCGGCCTCTTCTTAGCCGAAGGCTCGCCAGGGTCGAGGTTGGTGTTGGGCGTATCCTGCGCAAAAGCTAACTTCCAGCAAACACACTGCGTATCAGCAGCGAGCGCTCTCACAGCGCAATGACAAAGCAAGCGCTTTCACAGCGCAGTCAAGCAGCGACGTAGCAAGCGCAACAAAGCAAGGACCTGGTTGCGAGCCTCACCACTGTCTTCTTTTTTTCCTGAGCCGCTCAGCAGACTTGAAAGCCGTGACGCGTGACAGCAAGGGACTTTGAAGCCATGCATGTTTTTCCCAAGCGCCTCTTCCTAACTTGTTCTTCTTCTCTGTTTTCTAGCTTTTGGTGGCTTTGCGTTTCTTTGCCTTCTTCGACTCTGCAGTCGCGCCATCTTCTGCCTGCTTCGAACCTTTGATCCCGGCAGCTTTCTTTGGCTTGGCGCCTGTCGCCAAGGCCATCTCCTTTTTGGTTTTCGTCTTTGTTGCCTTTGCTTTCTCTTCTTGTCCTTCCGCTTCCTCTGCTGCGTTGGCCTGCTGGAGCTCACGCTTTTTGCCGCCCCTGCTGCCGCTGCCTTCTGCCTGCTTCGAACCTTTGATCCCGGCAGCTTTCTTTGGCTTGGCGCCTGTCGCCAAGGCCATCTCCTGTTTGGTTTTCGTCTTTGTTGCCTTTGCTTTCTCTTCTTGTCCTTCCGCTTCCTCTGCTGCGTTGGCCTGCTGGAGCTCACGCTTTTTGCCGCCCCTGCTGCCGCTGCCTTCTGCCTGCTTCGAACCTTTGATCCCGCCAGCTTTCTTTGGATTGGCGCCTGTCGCCAAGGCCATCCGCTTTTCGGTTTTCGCCTTTGTTGCCTTTTCTTTCTCTTCTTGTCCTTCCGCTTCCTCTGCTGCGTTGGCCTGCTGGAGCTCACGCTTTTTGCTGCCCCTGCTGCCGCTGCTACTGCTGCTGCTACTACTGGTACTGCTGCTAACGGTCTTTGCCTTGGTCGTCTCGGCCAGCTGGCGTTCGAGACCCGCCACTATGTTCCCCGCTTTGGCTTCCAGGTCTGCCATCTCCTGCAGCTGCTTCTGCTTTGCTTGCTTTTCCACCTCTGCGTGCCGCAGTCTCATCGTTTGCAACTGCATTGCATGGCAGCTTTTCTGCTTGTTCTCCGCCTCCAACACAGCAGCTTTCTTCAGTGCCTCGTGGCCCTGTCGGAGCAGCTGGAGCTCATGTTGCAGCCTCTCCACGGTGCTCTGCTCCTGCACTTGGGCTAACTCCAGCTTGTGGTTTTCGCCCTGCAATTTCGAAGCTTCCTGGCAAGCCACGCGTGCCTGCTCCTTCAGCTCCGCCCACTGCCGGGGATCCCTCTATGCTGCTGGGGCTGCTGATGCTGCTGGGGCTGCTGATGCTGCAGTGGCTGAGCACTGTAACCAGCCTGCGCTGCTTGCCATTGCAACAGCGTCGCCTGCCACGGTTGCTCACGCATTGCCTGCTGCTGCTGCGGCTGCTGTTGCTGCTGGGCTTGCTGCTGCAAGTGCATCTGCATCTGCTGCAACTGACCTTGCTGTGGTTGTTGCTGCTGTGCCAGGTGCGTCTGGGCATGTTGTTGGGCCTGCTGCGTTGGCATCTGCATTTGCTGCATGGCTTGCTGCAGTAGCTGGGCTTGAAGCATCTCGGCTTGCTGCCACTGAGCTCGTAGTAGTTCCTGCTGCTGGGCCGGGTGCGTCTGCGCATGCAGCATCTGAGGCTGCTGCTGAGGTTGCTGTTGCTTTTGCTGCGTCTCCTTCGGGCTGCAGCCTTTGCCTTTGCCTTGGGCTGGGCGCGTGTCTTGCTCGGGCGTGCAGGGTCCCAGGGCTGTGGGTTCGGATGACGGATGAGGGGGCAGCTGCGAGCTCCGGCTCTTTTTTTTTGTGGCCGGGCTGCTCTGCCTTCGGCTTTGGTTTTGGCTCAGCCTTTGGCTTTGGTGAGGGCTGGTCTGGCCCAGGGCCTGCTCTTGCTTTGGCTTCTTGCTCTGCTCTGGCGCCGGCGGAAGTGGGATCTGTCCTGACTTATGCAGCGGCCCAAGTGGCAGCTCGACTCTTCTCCTGGTCTCGTCTGCCATG